CTCAAGGCCGTCACCGACACCGACCAGGGCGGCATCCTCGCCATCGCAGCCAGTCTCGGTCTGGTCTTTGGCGTCATCTCGCTGCTCATCCGCACCTATGTCCGCATCGAGTGCCGCGCTGCCTTTGGCAAGGACGACTACGCCGCCTTTCTGAGCATGGTCGTCGCCCTGATACAAGGCGTCCTGGTCTTCTTGGCCATTTCCAACGGCTTTGGCAAAGTCGTGGCCGACCTCACGTCCGACGCCATCCTCGCCTGGCAGCGCGATCTGTACATTAGCGACATTTTCTTTCTCGTCGGCATGTGGCTGACCAAGAGCTCCATTGCCCTGCTGCTGATGCGCCTCTCCCGCGACCCGTCGCACAGCGTCATGGCGCGCATCCTGCTCGTCGCCTCGGCCGTCTACTTTGTCGTCTCCATCTTCGTCGTCACCATCCGCTGCGACCTCAGCCAGCCCTGGAACGACGCGGTCCCCGGCTGTTCTGCGACCACGGTACGTGCTTGGCCCTCCTTTTGTCTTTTGTCTTTGTGTTCCGTGTCCTCACGTCGCTCAGACTTGTTGTCACTAACACTAACAACCACCACCACCAGTATGCCCGCTGGGCTGCCGTCACCGTCATGGACGTCCTCGTCGAAATCGCCCTCTTTATCGGCGGTGTCTGGCTCGTTCGCGACCTGCAGCTGCCGTGGAGCAAAAAGTCGGTCGTCGTCGTCGCCTACGGCCTCCGCCTGCCCGTCATCCTCGCCGCTGCCGTCCGCCTCTACTACCTGCGCCAGTCCCTCTACAGCAACGACGAGTCCCTGCACGGCATCCTGGCCTACGTCTGCACCCAGACCGAGCTCGCCTACGCCGTCATCGCCACCACCATGCCCTGCCTCAAGCCGTTTATGAGCGCCCTCAACACGGGCTACGGCGGCGGCGGCACCTTTGTGCTCACCACCACGTCCCCCAACACGTCGAACCTGCAGCGCAGCCGCGACACGACGGGCGGCCACTCGACGTACGGCAAAGCCAAGGCGGCCGCCGTGGCCGTCATGAGCGGCGGCGTTGGCAGTGGCAACGGCATCAGCAACGGCGGCGGCGCCAGCGCTGGCAGCCGCAGTACGTCCAAGGTGCGCGACTCGACAGAGTCGCAGGCGCGCATCCTCAGTGGCAACGACAACAAGAACGGCGGCAATGGCACCGACAGCGAAAGCGGCAACCTGTCACGGCCGGCGACCAGCAACTCGGAGCCTCCGCCGGCCATGCCCAAGCTGGCGCCGTCCCAGACCCAATACGTCCCCACACAAGTGCCGTCCAAGGCGTCTGCCTTTGCCTCCTTCAAGACCACCAAGGCCGCCGGCACCACCGCCACGGCAACCAAGAGTCCCATTGGCGGACGGTCGCGGATGAGTGCAGTGTCCCCCGAGTATGTGGTTGTCACGACAGACACGACCGTGCAGGAAGAACGAACGGACGATGCGGCGCTGCAGTCGACGCAGCCCGCAGAGCCGGCAGAGCCCGTCGCACCCGTGTCGCCGATATATGCACAATACTCTCGTGGTGGTGGGCAGCCTCGGATTGGGCATGCCGAGTAGACGGAATGACATGGTCGCGTCACGAAAGGAAATAAATGGGCAATGGGAGTCTTGGGAGTTTGTCGTCTGTTTTACTCTTTTCTTTCTTTCTTTTTGTTTATTTTCGCCTTATCAGTCTCTCTCTCGGGTTAACGCGGTACTGAAAGTCATGTCAGTTACATGGATTTGGACGGAACAACAGGATACCAGATACACTCACTCGCTTGTGTAGCTTCACTCTTTGCACTTTTTTCACTTTTGACTCGGTTGTCGTTCGGATGCGTCGAACAAATAATCAAAAGCAATTTTGAATAATGTCAGCATACGCCATGGTCTCTTTCGTTCCCTATCGTGCAACTGTCGCCTCGCCAAGATATGCAGCTTCTAGCTGGGTTTCTTCATGTTCGTGGCAATCGTCTTTTTCTCCTCCTTGTCCTGCCTATCCTGCCTATCCTGCCTATCCTGCTTGTCTTGCTTGCCCTGCTTGTCCTTGTCCTTGGCCTCTGCGGGATTGTAGTTTTCAACCAGCGTGATGTCAAAGTACAAGCTGAAAAGCTCCGGCTCCGTGTATTCCAGGTCGACCTTCTCCTTCTTGAGCACTGTCGATATGCGGTACCAGCAGCTGCGCCACTTGCCCGTGCGCGCATTGCGCTCGCCGACATCGACCATGACATAATCTGGCAGCTTCGTCAGGTGGGGGCAGAGGACATCCAGGTCGGGCCACATGAAGCTGTTGTTGGGTGCCCGCCGCACCATGATCATCTCCGTCTCCCGCGGGTAGTCTTCTTCCAAAAAGACGACAAACTCTGGGTCGCGTTGGTGGTGGCGGTACTGGCAGAGCACGACAAAGTAGATGCGCCTCGTTATCGGAATGGCGTCGGGTGTGTCGGGAACCTTGATGTGGATGTTGCGCAGCGTGGCGGAAAACTTGACGGCCAAGACCATGTCGTAGCGTGTCCACGCATATGCCTTGGGCCGCACAAATAGGCGGTCCTGCACATCCCACAAGTGCGTCGGCGCTGTTTCCTTGACGATAACGTACTCGTTGCCGTGCCCCGTGAGTGGAACATGAATGGACGACTGGCGGAACGTCTCTGCCGTGATCGTGTTAGCGGACCGCTTGTCGATGAGGATATACCAGTCCGTTACGAGAAAGCCTCGCAGGAACTGCACATCGTCCTGCTTCAAGACGGCCATGTCGGCCTCCCAGTCGCGCTGAAAGATGTTTGGCCCGACCTTGATCAGGTACATGCCGACGAAGTTGCCGAATTGGCTTCCAAGCAGCAACAAATAATGGTTTGTAGCCGGTGACTGGCCGGGGACGGCTTGTTTGGTCACGAGTCGCAAATACACCGACCCAGACACGAACAGACCGCGGTTTGTCACTGAAAAGTTTTCAAAGTCGTCGGCGAAGGGATGCAAGCTCGCATATTCCGCAAACGGTGCTGGTGAGGGTGCAAAGAGGCACAGTTCAGGCCGGCCGCGCCGCTGGTTGGTAGCGCCATCCGCCACGGTCGAGGACGCTGCCACTGACACGGCCGAGGTGCTCGGACTCGAGAGGACTTTCCCAAGCGGTGCCGAAGTCGGGGTGGACAGTGGGGTCGATACGGGTGTGGAGGCTCTCGATCCTTTCGAGGGCGAGGGAGACGTGGAGACGGAACGACGCTTTGTCTCGATGGGGTTGGGGAGGGCCGGCGAGGTGGCTCGCGAGTGAGCCGGCGAGGCGACGCCGGGCGCGTCTTTTGGATGGAACACGGGGCTGGATTCAACGGTGACCGGCACGGGCTTGACCGCGGATCGATGTGGGCGGGTGCCCTCGTCTTGGCTTATTTGGATGGCCGGCACTGTGGCAAGCGGCGAGCGCCACGCAAAGATGGTCAGGTCGCTGTTTTTCTTGACAATCTCCTCTTGCAAGCGGCGGAAGGCCTTGGCGCCCTCGCCGTATGCCAGCGGCATGTTGATGTCACAGATGCCCAGCAGACAGTATGCCGTGTCCTCAATACGCGTCGTCTCGCGCGTCGCCGCCCACGACATGCGGCGTGCAAGAGAGTAGCCGGTGGGGTGCGCCTGGCCCAGCAGGATCCGCTGCGGGATGTTGGTGCGCTTGAAGATGCGGTCGACGTGTGCCGTTCTGGTGCCCCGGAAGGACCAGTCTGCGTCATAAAACTCAAGGCGGCGCGGCGCAACGAGCTCTTGCAGGGTCCAGCCGCGCGTGAACCAGCGGCAGTGTGCCATGTCTCTGTCGGGTCTGTCACCCAGCAGGTCGTCCAGCCAGGCGAGGCAGACCTCCGAATCGCGGTACCACTGGTACATGGAGTTGATGGACTCAGTCAGGTCGGCGCTGCTCGACTTGTCGATGCAGCAAGTGTCGATCCAGATGTACTTGTGCTTGAGCGTGCGGGCCAGCTGGGCGGCGCGCACAATCTTCTTGAAGCCGCGCCGGGAGGACTTGGTTTTGGCTGAGGCCGAACTGACGGCCATGAAGTCGACCAGCGACACCTCGTCGGCGCCCCATGTGTGCGATAGGATCGAGTAGGGCGGGATATTTGGCGGGAAGAACTCCCGCATCTCGAGCGTGGACGTCTCGATGAGTCGCATAGTGGCGGCTATCCAGGTGCTGGTCAGGACTGGGTAGCCGATGATGATGGGTCTTGAGTGTGGTTGGGTAGAAAGGGGGGGTAGTCGTAAATTATTGCCGGTGCAGCCGTCGCCCTCTTGCTCCTTCCTGGTTCTGCTTTGAGTACTGGGTCGCGACTGCTGTTGCTTGCTTCGCTCCTGCCCGATTCTGCCAGCGGCACATCTCGCAGTTGCACCAAATCTGCACCATGAGCTGATAGGCTCCACCGGCCCAGTGTGCGCTCATGAGCCGCATTCAGCCTCTCACTTGCGAGGCTGTATCGGCCCTCCAAATGCACCTAGAAAGAAGTGAGCGGGGCAGTGCATTGCAAAGTGGACTTTGGACAGCCAGGCATCTGTCGTGAAGGATCGCGGGGGTTGCATTGTTGAACTACGGTGCTGCTGGTGGAATGAATTTTTTTTTAAAAAAAAAAAAAAAATACAAGATGAAACAAATAAATTGGTTCGTGGACCTGAACGAGAGAACCTGCAAAAGCGCATGGCAAAATAAAGGAATGAAAATGCTTCTGCATAATTAAGGTGCCACTGTTTTGCGTTAACAATGAAACGAATATAAAAATAAATAATATTGGAAGTAAATATAAAAGTAGAAGGAAAAATAAACATGAAAATAAAAATAAAATAGAAATAAAATAGAAATAAAATAAAAATAAAATAAAAATAAAATAAAAATAAAATAAAAATAAAATAAAAATAAAATAAAAATAAAATAAAAACCACAATCAAGACTCCAAGAACAAACTGCAAGATCAAACTAATTGACGTCAACCACCAGAGACAAACCGATTCATCGTTCACTGCTTGTCTTTACCCCGAGCAGCCCGAGATCGATGTCAACCGGCCTGGGCAAGACACCTGTTTGTAGTCGACGTTCCAGCCGTTGAGGTCGCCTTTGGCCCAATTGAACCGCCAGTAGCAGCCGCCCTGCAGATTGTTGGGCAGACTAGCACAGGCCGCGCGGTCGCTGACGCCGCCGTTCTGCTGGCCCCAGCTCGTGCCGTACTGGTTGCGGCAGCCGGCCGTGTTCGGCCCCACGCCGCCGCCGGGCGTCAGCACCACAATGTCGTTGCTGCCCACGGACCCGCTCGGCGCGCCGACGTTGATGGCCTGCACAATCATTTGCTTGCCGGCGGCCTGGCCGGACGTCCATGTGAGCTGGTAGCACTTGCAGCAGTCCCCGCTGGCCATCATGACGGCGAAGCCATACGAAAGTGTGTCGGAGACGGGGACGGGCAAATAGGAGTCACAGAGGTAACCCGTGCCGCCGCTGTCGCAGCCGGACTTGGCCTGTGGCCCGTTGGTGAGAAGGTTGTTGTTGATGTCACAAACATGGGCGGTGCCAGAGGTTCCTTTCGGAACGCTGGCCGTCCAAGCACAAGCAGGTTTGCAGCTAAAGGAGTTAGCAACTGGTGACTGTTTGTGCTTCCTCGTATAATTCGGGGGTGACATACCAATCCCATCCTGTGAACGTCTTTCCGGAGATGGCAGACACGACTGGAAGGAGCGTACAGCCAAGGACAACAAGTTTCGATGGCGAAAACATATTGTTGGTTGTTTAGGAAAAGACCTTACTTACCACGATGGAAGTAACGCATCCATCTATGAGAGACAAGGGACGGATGGGGGATAGATATATAGGATGGATTTTATTATCTAATTGCCACCCGGAACCGGACGAGAGACATGCACCTGGTTGACAAAACCTTGCCGCCCCATTTTGACTCACTTGGAGCCGTCCAGACGTCGATGCTGGCTCTGTCCTGCCCTTCTTACTTCTCATTTCTGCTACTCTTTAGACCTTTTCTTCACTTTTCCATGGAGCCCTGATACTCTCGGTGTATTTTCAGAGCCACGGATTGATGACAATGTACTCGGAAATGCATACGTTCCAACATGTCATGATGCATGTTTGTATCGGCACAGAGGACATTCTGGCCGAGTCGGTGACGCAGGACAATCCAAGTGTAATTAATACCATGAGAGCGGGCAACTCTTATTGTCGTCGGACTTCCTACCTTGCATCTACCGCCCGTGTCCGGGAACTGTGCCACCATCCTGGTCACCTTATTGGTTTACAAATGTCTATCTCGGGGGGTTTCCATAGACATTGCATGTCTTCGGAAGAACCCGTCTAATGACAATCTGCCCGATTGCAGTGGTTACGAATAATTTGATATTGGTGATCTTCCCTAGTCTTTTTTGTTAACCGCAGCCTACACTTGTTGGCACTCATTTTAATGTGACTTGACAAGCTAGTTTGCTGTCGAAAGTTTGCCGCATCTATCACCCGTATGATCACCCTGTCAACACAGATTCAAGGACCTGGAAACTGACAAGGCGAATTTAGAGGCCAACATGGCATGCATGGTTAATTTACTGAGAGCAAGTAGAACCCGGATGTCGGCTTAAAAGTACGATGTGGCTAAACCCAGGACTAACCGAATCCAGGGCTGGGACCAAGATTCTCAAGTAGTGATGGTTCGATACGATATGGTAAATGAGAAGGTGTCTCGGCATAAAAAAACAATAATACACCCGCTGAAGGTTGGAATGTTGTCTGCGACCGGTGAATAAAATAGTCAGAAACGGACGGGTCAGAAATGTCCCTCGGGTGTGGACGAGCCAATGGTTCTCGCAATATGGCACATCTGCGTACTTTCCGTTGTCCCAGGCCGCGTGTCCGGGTTCGCAGATATATATGGTTCACTTTGTAGTCCATTGTATCAACCAGACTGGCACAGTATTCTCGCTTAATTATTTTCTACGAGTTTTGTGTACATGGGTGCGTCAATAAGAGGGAGGTCCATTTGAAACATTGGCTCTACCTAATGAATGGGACGGGACGGTTGATGTATAGGGTGAGCATTGTCCGGATAGTATCAATTTGCAAGAAGACATAAACAAACAAGCAGATATCAGCCTTGTTGTTGGTTTCATTTTAGCGAAGACACCATCTCTAGCTAGGTTGTAGTTTTCGTACTATTCTTTTTGCACAAATCGTATGTTACGCACATAATAAACTCGACGGCGCTATTTATGGTCCCTCCCAACCCGTGCTTTTGGGTCCAGGGATCGGCCGCTGTTCTGGCCCCGCGGCTGGTATGTCCGGGCAGATTGCGGCCTTGGCGATTAATTTACGAGCAACCGAGACTGCATCGTTTCAAAAATAGAAAGATAGGACAAACAAAGCAACTCTTTGATGTTTACAGTTTCAACGACTTCATTTCATGAGAGGTGCTAGCGTAAAATATACTTTGTAAACAGGAGAGAGAGAGCGAGAAAGAGAGAGAGTGAGACACCCGCTCATCTCTTATCTGCGGCCGTGCTCGATGCCCAGCTCCTCACGGCGCGACGTGCTTTGGGGGTCGTAGTAGGGCCGCTCGCCCAGGCCGACAGCGCGGTTGCCAAAGCGGTCACCCTGGCCGCGGATGTCAAAGGTGGCCGTGTGGAAGACGCTGCGGTTGTCCCAAATGGCCAGGTCGTTTTCGTTTTGCCACTTGAAGCGGACCTGCAGGTCGTGGTTCTTGTAGACCAGGTCCAAGAACCAGGCCAGCAGCGACTTGCTCTCCTCCTCGGTGACGCCGTTGACGTGGCTGACGTGGCCGCCCACGGGGAAGATGCTCTTCCAGCCCGTCACCGGGTTGGTGCGCACAACAGGGTGCACGGCCTTGAGCTCGGAGCCGACGTTCTCGGGGGCACCGCGGGGCTTGTCGTACAGCTTGAAGCCGGAGCGGTCGGCGATCTGGCCGAAGAGGGGTTGGTGGAAGGTGACGCTCAGCGTCTCCAGGAACTGCTGGTAGGGCTTGCTGATGGAGTCGTAGATGTCGTAGCCCGAGGCCCAGAGGGTGTCGCCGCCGGTCTTGGGCAGCTGGACCAGGCGCAGCGAGGTGTAGTCGGCCGGCACGGGCTCGAACGCAATGTCGCTGTGCCAGGAACCGCGCGTCTGCTTCTTGGGGCTCAAGGAGGCTTTGCCGGGGGCGTCGCGGTAGTACTGCTCCTGCTGGACGGAGCTGATGGTGCTGATCTGCGGGTCCTCGCCACCGAGGTCGCGCTCCGAGTTGAGGATGGGGTGGATGTGCAGCGACGACGTGGCCGGACGGCCGGTGAGCGCGCCAAGGCGCAGGATGACATCCTTTTGCAGGTCGTTGGTGAGATTGGACTGGTTGCGGAAGAAGACGACGCCGCGCTGGGAGATGGTGATGGCAAGGTCGCGCAGGAGGGCGTCGGCGTTGGGGCTCTTGAGCCAGTCGACGAGGTCGGCCTCGGGGAACTCGGTGCCAATGGTGGGTGTAAGATCAATGGACTTGAACTCGTCTAGAGCGCCAGAGAGCTTGAGGGGCTCGCGGTGGGTCCACACGGGCGTGGAAGCAGCGGCAGGAGCGGGCGCCTCCTCAGTAGCGGTCTCGGCAGGAGCAGTCTCGGCAGGAGTAGTCTCGGCAGAAGCAGCTTCGGCAGAGGTAGTCTCGGCAGGAGCCGCATCAGTGGCGCGGGCTGTAGTGGCGACAGGAGCAGCGGCATCAACTGCAGGCGCGGCCTCAACAGGAGCAGCCTCGGCCGGAGCGACCTCAGCAGCCGGCGCCTCTGCGGGAGCCTCAATGGAAGCTTCAGCAGGAGCCGAAACCTCCTCGGTCACAGAAACAACGTCAGGCGTGGCCACCTCCTTGGCCACATCAACGGGCGTCGCGGCAACGGGAAGGTTCTCGACAGCACCGGGAGCCATGATGGATAAAGTGTATACGGTAGGATGGGATATGAAAGGGAAGTCAAGGGTATCAGTCGGAAGTTGACGAAGATGGATGAAGAATGAGAGACGAAAAGCACAATATAAAACTCAAGACCGATGACTCTGCGTCTACTTTATATCTACATCCAAAGGGAGACTTGGGAGGCAGCGAGGTGCACACGACGCCATTTGATGTGTTCACCCCGCCAAAACGAGCATCATTCCGTTCTCCGACAATAGGCTGCAACGCGTACAGTCATACAAGGCACCGATGCGTCTTCGTCGTCTGCAACAGGCCTTCTGCAGCCAGTTGCGCGATCCCTCCATTTGGTGTCATATTGATGGAAGCAAGCGCGGATGACACCTTTTCATGAAGATGGAGGGGCAATGGCCGCGAGGAGACGGGAGAGGGAGGAATTGGTTGGATAAGAAGAAAACGAGCGAGATTTTGAGTGTGTGTGACGGAGATCGTCAACAGTAGGAACGCAAAGAGGGCCGATTGAGATCCAAAGTGTATGTATTGAGACAATACCCGGCCCTTGAGCTATGGCATGTCGGAGGAGAGAATCCATCGTCATTGCCAAAGGCGGACGAAACGGGAAATGCCATTCTCACCAATGGCAATCGTCTTGTCAACACCGGTCATGTCAAGTTGCAGGTCTGGTCAGTGCCAATCGTGAAATCCGGGGTCGACGTGTCGTGATCACGTCACTGCAGAAAAACCCCCAAGACGAACAATAATGCACATTGGCTACTAGCGCATGTGAATGAATTGTAGTCTGTGGCGCCTATGCAAATTCATTATATAAGAGGCAAGAGCATGCTTGAATACGTCAAGTTTATGTTTTGTGCGGTGGGCAGATCGAAAGGCGTCGGCGTTTGACGTATTGTTATCCTTCATTTCAATATTCTGTTATACGTTTTAATGTTTGACTTGATTCTTTAACTTTCTCAGTATCTTCTCCTTGTCTTTCTTATTTGATAGTTGTATTAAAGGCACTGCATCTTTACGATGTAGTATCAAGGCCCGTCTGGTCAATACAAGAGAGGTTTCCTCCCTACTATTCTGCCATTCTGTACCAAATGACATAATTTATCTCGTTGGCTAGCCTGGCTTTGTTTGTGCTGTTATTGGTGTTAGTGTTGCCGCGTGGGGGTTGTTAGAAGCACCGAATCCAAGATCCGCAACGGACCACCTCCGTAAACAAGCTACTTTCTGGGTTCTAGGCAGCCCGGGGCTGATGTTCAAGAAACATGACCGATGTCAGTGTAGCATCGTTCGCGACAAGGGCCTCTGGTGGAGTTCTACTTGGCAGGGGATTGGGCTAAATGAATCGCGAGTGCCGCTATGGGGTGGACTGGGGCACTGTCGGTAGGGCAGTTGCGGGCAGTAATTTAGTTGCGTCAGCGGCGCTGGCGATCACGAAAGTCCCGTCACGCAATATCGCACAAGATCGGTGGGCTGGAGTCTGTGCCGTGAGAAAGAGAACGGAAGAGCACTCTCGACAGACGTAGAAACAAAGTTAAAAAACATGGCAGCGCAAGAAAGAACGTACAATTCCGATCCGGGATTCAATAAATGCCCGATACATCCGGACTCCGCGAATCACGCGGGACGGCGTGGACTGGTTTTCGGGGGCTGTGTGATGCGTCTGGCCAAAAGTAGATCCATTCGACTTATTCTGTGTCCTGGCCAGCTTCCGTTTGTCTCACGAGGACTCGCAAAATGTATCTCACTACAGCATTGTCAAGACAAAGGGGCTCCCTGGCTGTAGAGAAGAAAATTGAGGTGCCTTGGTCTAAGTGTAAGGCGCTGTGGTCGTGAAGAGTTTAACAATTACCGGAAGAGGAGCCATAGTATATTTTGTCCGTTGAAAGACTAGAATCAGACTCGAGGAGACGTGTCACGACACATCACGACGCATCACGAGGCCAAGCCGGTCCAACATCGCGATTGCATTCGATATTGAAGAGGTTGACAATAGACAGGCCCAGACCATGTTGCGTCTAGGCCCGCTGCACGACTCGACTGGACTTTAATTTGTTGACGTTCCTTCGTATGACTAGAGCAGTCTCCGTTGCCTGTTCGAGAGCCCGTTCCAAGGGACTGGGACCTGTCAATCACTATACAAAGACGGCAGAAGACGAACGGGTATCGAGGCATGGAATGAGGAAAGGGAGATAAGGCTGTAAGTTGCCATGAAAGTCGTAAGGTCGAAGTGCAAAGAACGCCTTCAAAAGACGCCATTGTCAAGACACTGCTGGGTGGTGACGATGGTGAAGGTGTTGACGGTGTGGCCAAACCGCGTAGCGGCGTAAAAGCGGGCGAAGAGGCATGGGCCTTGCCAATAGTGGCTCCAGGTGGCTGGAAATAGCCTGACTCGGCCGTTGCAAAGGCGGGTCGAGCGGTCTGGCCTGCAGTCTTCCCGCCAGATCGTGTGCCGAGTAGACTTGTCATGGCCAATTTTCCAAGCTTGGGTCGTTGGTGGGGCGTCGACCTGGATGTCTTGGTTGTCTTGGTTGTTGTGTGTTCCATGTGCTGTGTCGTCGACATTTAGCATTGCAATGACGAAAAGCGAGAGGCGTACGAATTACAGATACAGCACATAGACAGCACGCACAAGGTAACGTGGCGATAACCTTGCAGGAGCAGTGACACGACATCGCTGGCCTGGCCCGCAGCCACTCGTGGAAGCATGTACTTTCGGTTGCTTATCAAAACCTCTCCTCCTTTGCCCTGCCAAACGGTTGATCGCCACTCTGTCCGCGAGCTCCCCGAGTTTGCGTGCTGGAAGCCTCGCAAAGTAAATGAAGCACAACGCAGTGATGGCGTAAACAAAGCGAATCTTGAAGTATTGTGTAATGGAATACGGCTAGGTGGCGGAAAGACGAAAGAAAAACAAAAAGAGAGAAAGAGAAAACGGCATAATCTGGCCTTTGCAGATAAGACGTGAATGTTGCCTTTTTGCCTTTTTGCCTGGCTACTTCTGTTTACCTGTTTTCTTCTTCTCACCAGTCGAAGCGTCTTCAACATCTTCCCTATCTTCCATGTGTACGATGTGTAGTATCGACATTTGTGTCTGGCTAATAATAAAATCTTTGTCCCTGTGCTTTTTCTCTCCGTATTCTCATCTTTTTCGTTGTGAGATCCAGTTTACATCACTAGCTTCAGGTTCTGTGCCCTTACAGATTTTAGAAGATAAAATGACACTAAGGCCACGCACCAATTAGAACAGCCCTGCCTCTATCTGAAGTGCATCTCGTCACTTTGGCCGAATGTTTCGTGCCTTTGATTTTGCACGGACCACGGTCCTGGCCAGCCAAAAGTCAAGCCATTTTTTGAGCTTTTCCCTTTGCACAATTTTTCCTGGGGTACCTCTTCGGTAGGTTGTCGATGGTCTTTCTAAGGGTTCCATCCGCTGCAAACCGGTGCCAAAATCCACCTATCCACTTACATGCTTTTTATTCCACTCCGACGCAGAACCCGCAGAATCTTGCTCCAGACGACTAGACAGGGCCCATCAACAGGCAAGTCAAGGAGAGTCAGCTGAGATCGTCATTACGCCATGCGCAAAATTTTGTGTCCAGCCTACAAGAGCATGGAAAGCACATATTATTACTGCAATGGGTGTGGCCCTGCAGGTCGTCGCCCGGCTTTGCTCGGCTGGCCTCCCGGACAGATAAAAGGGCATCTACATCCCGGCCTCGTCTAGATTCTGCCAGCTGGACAGGTGCGCTGCTCGTCTTCCTTTGGTGATTTTATATATATATATATACAGACCGTGGGCTGCCTCCTGTTGTTCACTCTCCCTGTCAGAGATCAACCTACATTTCCATTCCTACACCCTTCTTTGTCTACCCAATCACCACCATCATGGCGACCGTGTTCGCCAGAGACAAGTCGGCGCTGGCGACCGTCGTGTCGCTATCCGACTCCGATGCCTCTGACACCCAGCGTGCGGGCGTTCCCGATCTCGGCCTTCCCGTCCAGCAGAAGCAGTTTTGGTGGCAGAAGCGCGGCGCCTACGATCCGGATGCCATTGCCACGCAGCCGAGCGTCTTTGACGACAACGAGTCGGCGGAGAAGTACCATCCGCCGTCCAACTGGGAGAATGTCCACCGCTTCGATCCCCTGTTTCGCTGGACCTGGCGCGAGGAGAACACCCTGATTCGCAAGATCGACTTCCGCATCATGGTGTGGGCCTGCATCATGTTCATGTCTCTGGAGCTGGACCGCTCGAACCTGGTCCAGGCTCTGACGGACAACTTCTTAAAGGACCTGCAGATGACTACGAATGGTGAGTTTAGTTTGTTCTCGTCTGCTGAACAACTGACTTGCCCCAACTGACACAAACTTTTCTCCTCCCCCCCCCCCCCCCCCCTCCTTACGATTACAATCTCGGAAACAGCGTGTTCAAGCTGTCGTTCATGTGCGCCGAGCTCCCGTCTCAGCTCGTCTCCAAGTGGATGGGCCCGGATCGCTGGATCCCACTGCAGATGGTGCTGTGGTCGATTGTCGCCTTCAGCCAGTACTGGCTCAGTGGCCGCTCGTCCTTCTTGGCCTGCCGTGCCCTGCTCGGCATCCTCCAGGGCGGCTTCATCCCCGACATCATTCTGTACCTGTCCTACTTTTACAAGCACTTTGAGCTGTCCATCCGCCTGTCCTTCTTTTGGACGGCCATGAGCATCGCCGACATCCTGTCCGCCATCCTCGCCTTTGGTCTGCTGCACATGCGCGGTGTGGCGGGCCAGTCTGGCTGGCGCTGGCTCTTCTTGGTGGAGGGTCTCTTGACCTTTGTGATTGGCCTGCTGTCCGCCGTGCTCATGCCGCCCGGCCCTTGCCAGACGCCCAGCTGGTTCCGTGGCAAGAAGGGCTGGTTCAGCGAGCGGGAGGAGAAGATTATTGTCAACCGCGTCCTGCGCGAGGATCCCACCAAGAGCACCATGCACAACCGCCAGCCCATTACGCCGCGCACCTTGTGGAAGAGCCTACGCGACTACGACCTGTGGCCGCTCTACGTCATTGGCATCTTGTTCCAGATCCCCATGACGCCGCCCCAGCAGTACCTGACCCTGTCGCTCAAGGGCCTGGGCTTCGACACCTTCCAGAGCAACTTGCTCACCATCCCCTACACCGTGCTGCACATTATCACCATGATGATCCTCACCTACGTCGCCGAGATCTGGAACGAGCTCACCTTGACCGCCATGATCGGCCAGATCTGGGCTGTGCCGTTCCTCGTCTACTTTTACGTCGTCGACACCGCGACCGTCAGCAAGTGGGTCGTCTTCACGCTCACCACTCTGCTGCTGGCGTACCCCAACGCCCACCCCATCCAGGTCGGCTGGAACTCGCGCAACTCCAACGCGGTGCGCTCGCGGACCGTCTCGGCCGCGTGTTACAACATGGTCGTCCAGGCCGGCGGCGTCATCGCGTCCAACATCTACCGCGCCGACGATGCGCCCCGCTACCGCCGCGGGAACAGCCAGCTGCTGGCCATTGCCTGTGGCAACGTCGGCGTCTATCTGCTGACCAAGGTCTATTATGTCTGGCGGAACAAGTCGCGCGATGCGCGCTGGAGCGCCATGACCGAAGAGGAGCGCCTTCACTACCTGGCCACCACCAAGGACGAGGGCAGCAAGCGTCTGGATTTCCGGTTTGCCCATTAAACACTGGCGTATGTGGCAGGGAAAGTTCGGGGGGGAAAAAAGAAAAGGAAAGAATGAAAGCGGGATTCGAGTTCGCGAAATGAATAAAAGGGACAATATAAGAGAGACTAGAATAGAGGTGCCATGTATATGCGTTACATGAGCAACTGTTTCCCTTGATGATGACTATATTTCTGTTCACATTTCCAAGTCACCGAAGTTTTACCATGTTAAGCTTTGTTTTACTTTTAAATTCTTCTTTGGTCCCAGCACCGGACCCTTATGCTAAGTGAAGTTTGCACCGTAGATAGGTGGCAAAAAAGAAACTGCACTCTTACCCATCATCGACGTCCACCTTTGTTGATTGTTGTTGCAGCTATTCAAACGCCCCTATTTCCTCATCACTACTAGCAAAGTCGGAGAGTGACACGTGATCAGTCACGATGGCGTCTTTTCGTAGCGATCCAACGGCACTGTATTAATACGAGGCAGTTTTTTCATTGATGTAGGCAAAGAGCCGTATTGTCGTAATGCTGGTCTAATTGTTTGGAAACTGTCGGCCCACCACACCGGAACTCAGGACACAAACACACACAAACACCTATTTGGCCCTTTTCCTTCACCTAACATATTTTTCTACATGTCGAATTAAAATAAGGCACTGGGCAAGTACATATGAAAGCATCTTGCAACGCGATAGTTGGGAGACTCTGTCCATAATTGACAGTCGTCATCACCAGACAATAACAATACCTCGCAATGGCAACTTACTCCGTACTGCGCGATGGAATTTGCAACGTACTCCTACCGTCTGTTGACATACAAAACGGTTCACTGTTTACTGCTTTCATGACAAATGTATTCACCGCAACGGACAAGGTGCAATATAAGAGTCTGACTGTACTGTTGATTCCGTTTGCTATTCAAGAAGGCACTGTCTACGGCGGACAGGTTCTTAGCATAACGAGAAATGGTGATGGGGATCCGAATGTAGGCGTGTAACTATGCATCGCCGAAGACATTCCATCACTGCCATCAAGAGTGCATGCAATAGATACAATAAGGAAAAGCAGACGCAAGTAAAATGCAAATAGCAATGCTCAACAAATAAAAAGGTCTTCAGCCATGATACCCAACATGTCATGCCCTGTGTCATACAACCATCCTGAACCCTGTCCCATATGCAAGAGAAAGGTTTATGTGCAACGAAAGGGAGGGAAACGTAAGCAAAGTAGAAAAGGAGACGACACGGCGTCTACTTCTGCACGCGCTGGATGCTGTTGCGGATGCGGCGGTCAACGTGCTGCGCGGCCCGCGTCATGTGGTGGTTGGTGGCCTTGTCCATGCGCTGCATGGTGCGCTCGACGGGCGGCGAAACGTGCGTGCGGACGGCATGCTGCATCGGCGGGGAGATGTAGCGCTGGGCGACATGCTCCCACCGGGGTGCCCAATAGCCGGTGTGGCGGGCCATGGTCTCCTCAGCGCCGGGAGCGAGCATCATGTAGATGGGTGCGAAGGCACCGACGCCAGCGACGCCAAACGACATGACCTCGGTGGCCTTGGCAGCAGGAATGCGGACGGGCATGGTGACGGGTGTGTTGTAGAGTGGAGATTTGATATTTGTGACGAAAAGGAAGAGTTCTGTGGATAGGAAGAACAATGTTAATAATTCGATGTGAGTTTGATGGGCAAACGTTTGATGAAATGATGAAATGTCGAGAACAAGCAGGGATTGACAGTAAATTGGTGACTGGTGATGGATGACAAACCACTGAAATGAGATACACATACCTGTTGAAAGAGACTCTTGTGATGGATGACGACTTGTGCTTGAGTGTTTGGGGTCGTATTTGATGGAAATGCGGCTCAGATAAGATGATTTGGTTGGATGTGTGCTGAAAATGGGAAGAAGATGATGATAAAAGGAGGGTAGAAGGCAGGATACGGTGTGGCATGAACGGCAGGAGGGTGATGGAGGGTTAATAAAGGGAGGCGAGGGAACCAGCGATCAGGAGGGGAAGGCACAAATGAGGGGGGTTAGGGCATGATGGGGGATGGGAACAATGGAACAGGCCATCCGACGATTGCGTTGGAGTGCATCACATCCCCAGAAAAGGAAAGAGCGGCCCCAGACAACGGTGCGTGCCAGCGAACGATGGGCCAGCCGTCAGTCAGCCCAGACAGGAGAAAGAGCGTCTTCGGCCATTGGTTGATCACGCCCACCCTCTCTCTCACGTCTCCTCTCGTACGAAGTAGTCTATGTTTGTCGGGTTATCGCCCCTGGACTGGGCCTTTCCCTGTTGGATGAGGTCACAGGGCATCTGTTCTTGGTTTTATTAATCCACTTTGCCGTAGTAATAATTGCTTTTGTCGTTCCATCGTCGTCGTGGCATGTCGAGGGCGATGGCACTAGAAATGGAGCTGCGTCTTCTCCGCTCAAACGGCCATTCTCAGGTATCGCACTCGGAATCTACCATCGTCTCTCTTGGCCGTTGTTCTTGCTTGTTGCGCTCGGCATGCTTTGAGAAATTGGATGTCGCACATTGCCAAAAAGTGTCCTGCCTGGAGAAAGCGCTATTTCGTCACCAGAAAGAAGCAGAAGGGGAAGAACAGGTCATGTGTACGACGTACAGCATTCTGGGCTGCTTATTTCGCCGGGGGAGACGCTCAGGGCAAAGGGCATCAAAGTGACGCAACAAATGGGACTGGAAAAGAGAGGCCTGGGCGCAGTGCACAAACAGGCAATATCCCGGATTGGCGTGCCGCTTCTAGCAAACATGCCCTATTCTGTGTCAACTCTCCAGCGTATTTTGTCGATTTGTCCAAGTGTCTCACCGTCTCCCAAAAGTACCAACAGGCGGTGGACGGACATGCGACAGTGGTATGTTACAGTGAAGTCACAACGAGTCGTCAGCGCGACCGCCACCGATGGCCAGCGACAAAGCGGCGCCCACTCCGACCCAAACACGTCTGACTATGAGAATCGTATGTCCTACTCGTAATACACTTTCTTGTATTTGAATTGTCAAAAGTCACCCGATTCCTGCCAAAAGGCATGTTTGCGTACGTGGTGCCGCAGTCTCTATATAACGCTATTTCTGGGGCAGAAAGTGGGTATACTGGCGTTCTCTATGTGTCTATCCCCCGGATTTCTGTGTCGCTAGGACCTCCGCTGTCTCCGCCTCCGTACTTCGCAGGCCCCAGTTGTCCACTCAGGCTCGCGTGTCGACGCTAAATTATTTGGTGGCAAAATGGGAAACAACAACGCTGACCTGGGCAGCATGGAAGAATGGGCAAGGGCAAGACAGCAACCTGCCACTAGGCAAATGCGGGGTAAACAGACAGTTTTATTGGCCAGTGACGATTCTAGCGCCATAATTCAGTGGGGCAATTGATTTCTCACTCTTCCCTCCCTGCCCCTTCGAACGCGACCTTTAGGGGCAGTGTGTGCCAGGCCCCGTGTCTTGTCGTTCGTTCCTTCTCGTGGTACTCCCACTTTGCGTAGGTTCGTGCCTGCAATTCGCATGTGAAGTTTCGGGCAGTATTTCACAATGATTTTGCACTTTCTCTCTCCCCCTTTGTTTACTTTGAAATCTGTTGTTTCTTCACCGATTGAAGAATATCCTTTCTCGACTCTCGACACTTTCATATTCGCGTGTCCCAAGGCCCACGCCTGAATCCACATTCCCCAGATTACGCTAAACAAGAGGGGAGCTACTCCGTACTTGGCCCTGTTGAGGACCCTCTTGAGCCTTCTATTCCAGGCCGTTTCTTGAGCAGGGGGAATAGAATCCACCGCAAAATAGTGGGAAATTGTGGGCAAAGGCTGGCTTGGCTTGCTTTTGGGCCCTCCTGGCCGTTCCATCCTACGGACAACGGCGTGCGCGAAAGCCTTCCTTGACGTTTTCACACTCTCCAGTCGCAGTGGTTCGTGAGCTCAACTCGAGGACAAAGCGGGTCACCATGCACGAACGATGACAGATGCGAGATTTTTGTGGTGCTTCCGGGTTACCCGTCAGCCGTCGTGAGTTTTCTGGGGAGAGACGAAACCAATTCTTGCTAGTTCGAGTATGGCACCCGTCAACGGGACCCGTCGAACGATCTACGTGGGTCCATCGACGACGACAAGACGAAGACAATAGCTGCATCGTGGTCCGTAGGATCGCGTATAGAAGACGCAGCACGGTGCAGCACAGTGATGTGGTTATGAACGGCATCATTATAGACACAAGGGACGGCATCTTACTTCAATAGATCGTTTTCATTTGGCTGATCAATTTCACTTTGTGACTTGCATCTTCCTTGACATCACCTTGATGATTCAAGGTGGCCCATAACTAACCATAGGATCACTTCGTTTCGCCCGCCTCCCCGAACATTACCTGCCGTTCGCTCATCCTTCAAACATAACTTGTGGTGGCCTTGTCACGCTCCCCATCCGGGTGCACGGCGGCACCACCCTCCAGGCCCTCGTTGCCGAGGCCCTTGCGCTCGCGGTGCTGCAGAGCGTCAACGATGGTCTCATCGCCAGCAACGGCGCGCAGATCAGCGTCGTGGGCGACATCAAAGTTGCGGTTCAGATGCTCGGGGCCGAGGAACGTCAGGATCATGACATAGGCATACACGCAGCCCATGAAGATGCAAATCACCTTGCCATACTCGTAGCGCTTGGTGCCGTTCTCCAGGGGCAGCAACGGGAAGCGCTCACCGATCGTGCTCTCGATGGTCGACGACGCCGACGACACCAGGTTACCAAGCTGGTAGGCCGTGCCGACGACAAAGGTACGGAAAGCACCCGGACTGAGTTCCATCAGGTGAATCGGAATGACACCCCAAGCGCCCTGGACGCAGAACTGCTCGAAGAAAGCGGCGGCGATGACACCCTTGTTGGTGACGAACGTATACGGGTACAGGAGGGCACCACCAATGACGCACATGACCATGATGCTGATGCGGCGACCATAGATCTGCGAGGCGTAGCCAACCACGGTACCGCCGAGCATGGCGCCCAGGTTGGCCACGACCTGCGTGACGGTGACGGCGTTGGCGGAAAACTTGAACTGGTTGGAGAGCAGGGTCGGGTACAGGTCCTGGGAGCCGTGGGACATGAAGTTGAAGCCAGCCATGAGCAGGACCAGGTACGTCAGAAGCTTCCAGTGGCGGCGCAGCGCCACCTTGCCCTCGCGCAAAAAGGTCTTGGTGGCGCTGGGCGGGGCGGTGTCGCCGTGGACGCGGGCGGCCCGGCGTACCGCGTCGTGCTGCTGGTACGTGTTGGTCTCGGGGAGCATGAGGCGGAAGGCGATGATGAGCACGGGGGGGCAGGCACCAAACCAGAACAGCGGGCGCCAACCGTGGGAGGTGGTGTCGACGAGGCCGCGGGCAAAGGCGGTGGCCAGAAGGTAGCCGAAGGCATAGCCCTGCTGCAAGATGCCGCTCATGATACCGCGCGCCTCCTCGGGCAGATCCTCCAGCGCCGTGGCGGCGGCGTTGCCGTACAGGCCGCCCATGGCGACACCAAAGAGCGCCCGGCACGCCAGGAACTGCGGGTAGGTCTGGCAGAAGCCCGTGCCGAGCTCGAGCGCAATGAAGAGCACGTTGTTGATGACAAAGGGCCACTTGCGGCCGTAGCGATCGGCAGCGATACCAAACAAGATGGAGCCGACCGACCGGAACATCAGCACGAGCGTGATGCCCCAGGTGATCTGGGTGTTGGTCTTGTTAAAGTCCTTGGCGAGGTCCCCGACGGTGAGCGACACGGTGAAGAAGTCAAAGGCGTCCCAGGACCAGGCGAAGAAGGCGATGGCGAAAAATGCCCACTGGTGGCGGTTGAGCGAGAAGAGAATGCGCAGAGGGTTCGGCGCCGAGCCCTTGGCGGGCGCGAGCGTCGTGAAGCGGGTGGCGATGTACTGGCTCGTAGACATGCCATGGTGGGGTGGCAGGTCAGTGAACTCGGCGTGCACCGGCCCGCCGGTCTTTTCGATTTCTGCCATATTGTGTCGTTTGTTGCCAGTGTGCGACGGTTTTGGCGATGCGAGAAGGATGCAAAGTGTGTGTGCAGGAGACAAAGTTCCTCTTTGGGACGTCGTTGCTGTTAGAGAGAGACACTTGGCGTTCTGCCTAGGCCAGTTTGGGTGTAAGTGGTTGGTGCCAATGTTTCGCCGCGGCGCTGTAAAAGCTTGACGTCAACAAGGGCGCCTCGAAACAGTGTGCGCGATGGTTCGTGCAGGACCAAGCTTTTCCCAGAAGTAGGGAAAAGCACGAGGCAGGGCAAGGGAAGCAAAGGATGAAAAACGGAATCGAGATGTGACAGACCCTCAGAATGAAGTCTCCTGCACTCAAAAGAGGATGCTTACCGAAAGACGAGCAACAACGGAAAGCAACGAACAGAGTGGAGGAGAGAGGGGGGGAAGAGACGATCGGTGACGGGAGAGGGGAACGAGCTGTCTTTATTTATGGAGAGCCGTGTGCAAGAGGTACGACAGAAGAAAATTATTTGTAGAGCGATCGGCGGTAGGTCTCCAACGGCACGATGGGTGGGACCTCCACGGCCGGGGATGCTCTATCCCCGGGGTCTTTTTCTTGTCAATTATTATTTACCGACAATTTACGACGAACAAGCTTTCCTTGTATGGTATCTGACCTTGAGAGCACGACATAAGCAAACGATAACTGGGTGGTCTTGGCATGATTAGTATGTCATACGTTTGACCAACCTTTTGATTCCCAAGGACAATGGACGGAGAACGATATGAAGACGACACGAAAAGATACAAGAAAGAAGACCGAGGGAGGCAAGAAAATAACACGGCGGGGTAAGGGGAAGAAGCGGAGGTAAGTGAGGAGAAGAGAAAGCAGGGATGTGTGGGCGCGAGCCCTCGTGTGCAGGAGGAATGTGGTGTGGTGCCAGGAAACGACACGGGGGAATCGACGATCGCAAATGGACGACGAAAACAAAAAAAGAGGGTACCAAATGGAAACTCAGGATCCTACGACGTTCTGGGGGTTGCGGCGGCAGAGTACCAAAGGAAGAAGAAACGGGACAAAAAAACCGGCGCACGGCGCGTGGGACGTGGAAAATGAGACGGTGGCTCGGGTGGCTCTCGGTGGGGACCAGCAAAATATACGACATACGGAGTCATGACGACGCACAACGTCCAGTGAAAGAAACGAAACGAGCAAAAGTACCAGAAGAAACAAAAGAGGGAAAAAGTGCGCGGGCGCCGCACGCGTGCACCGAAAACCCCACAGAAAGTGGGCGACGATCTTGCACGAAAAGAGAAACACGTCTATCGTGCCTCGAGGTCATTTTGTCCTTTGTCATTTTCATGGTGGAGATTGGGCGCCGGGACCCGGTTTCTTCGAGCAGGAAATATTGACAAATTACGCTGTGGAAAGAGATGGAAAAGAGATGGAAAGAGATATAAATTAAAAGAAAAGACATAGTTGGATCAGTCAACAATATTACGAATATGCACAACGCCAGAGAAAAAACCCGTCGCCAGCCTCGCCATCAGGTTATGCTGCAAACATATCGCCTCTCTATCCCCCGGCCTGTTTTCCCCCAAAACAGGGATAACCTGGTGACTTCTCTCTCGATCCTTCCCTCCCATCTCGTGCCCGCCCCCGAATTACGGAGGATCTCAAAGTGAAAAGACGCATGGCAAAAAAAGATATAATAAAATAAAATAAACGCGGAACAGGCCAAGTCACGCGATTGTCTTCCATTTCGAGAAAAGCAGGGGTTCAAATCCTTTTCTTCCTTTTCTTCCTTTTCTTTTTCTGTTTTCGACTAGAATTGTGCGGTTCTTTTTGGTGCTGCTCGTGCTCGTTATTTGTCATTGTTCATCGTTGTTGTATACTCTTTTTCTCTTTCTTATTCACGGCGCCTCTGTGCCGACGTCGCTTCTCTGCCGGATTCCCGTTCCGGCACAACAGTAGAACAGAAGTAACGCGCATAAATGCGTCCCCGTACAAAGAACTACCAAGGTCGACGCCACACCAGGAGAAAGCTGAGATGATGTAAGGAGTACGTTGACGACACACGACGACGGCAACAGCGCTTTCGGAGGGCTTAGATATGGTGATGACTGGAGTGGCTGTGCAATCTGTCCACAGTCAACTTGGTTCCGTTGCATATGCGACCTATCTCAGAGAGCTGTGTCCGCAGGAGAGTAGGAGAAAAATCAAATACTTTAGAAGGATCGTAACAAGCAACTCGTCCTCGCAGCTTTGTTCCTTTTGTAATTCCTTCGCTTAAGTTTAAATTTTCAGTTTTTTTTTATGGATCCCTGCACGTCGCTCACCCGAGACATCGTGTGAGAATATCACGATAATACAAAGGAAACAAATAGAGTCGAAATGTTTAACAGCAAAGTGCTAGACCGAGGATATAATGCATCTCGTCACGCAGCGATGAAAAAGGCGCATCTGGATCGCCTTTTGAGTGTTACGAGACTTCAGATGAGAATGGAGAAGGATGCTATGAAAATGAACCCTTTTTGATCAACGTTCGCCCACAGGCTAGAACACTCGACAAGAGCGTCGTATGGAGCCCATCCCTGTCTCGACTCTTACCTCTTTATACCTTTTTTATTCGTTCTTTTTCGGTGACCGACCGAGACCAATTGCCCAACATCTCGACGACATGAGCTTGTGGAAGAGCTTGTCCTCATTGTAATGTGTCGTTCTCCGTAAATCATCCCGCAATGTGCTCCGGTGCTAGCTGCAGACTTACCACTAATACATGTTGAGAGTGTGAAATACCTTTTCTATTTTTTTAAAAAAAAAAAAATTAGAGCAAAACGTATTGATTGTCTCCATGTAGTCTTGGAATGTCGAACATCGACTGTCGAACGTAGTCCAGGCTCGGCAATTGTCTCAATAGGCTACATGGCAGAACCTAAAACCAAGCGCCTGCGTTTCTGTAAAAGTGGTTGCGGAGTGGACAAGTCAATGAGGAAGATCTGCCCCAAGCGCGGGTCCACAATGGATGATGTTTCCAGTCTGTGGATTAGAAGCATGCACTACAGAAGTTAGTTGCCCTAAAACAAGCAAACAAGTAATATCCCGAACGTAGTAATAAATCCGCACAACGACCATCGTACCACCTGTTGTCCGCGACAGATCTGGTGAACTCTTATCCAGGCGCCTTGTATTACGGCGTAACATCCCCCACCGAGACTCCGCCGGATGGGGCAGGCCTGGTTGCAGTGCATGCCTTCCGCCGGAGCTACTGAAAAAAGTGAGGTTTTCCCTTCTTTTCTGCCCGTTCTCCATGTCGTAGTTACTCCGTTCGGTGCCCAAAGGGCTACCCAAAGGCGCCGTTGGAGGAAAATTTGTGAGATCATGGCTCCCTCCATTATCCACATACGTTAGTTCGTACTAGAACGCTTCAGGCAGGTCGGTAGGCTTCCCCAATGTCGATTTTGCCTTTCCCCCTCATTCCACTAAACAACACTCACAACCTCCAACCCCCGTCTTTTGCGCAGCTATTTTTTAAGAATCTCGCCCGTTCTCAACTTCTTCCCTCGTTCCTCAACCACACCGTAAAGGACGCGGCATTGTCCGTAGGAAGAAAGCAACCTACGAAGACGTTCAACTTAAATCCTTTTTATTTTCGTGAAGCTCCAAAATACAACCTAAAACCCCACGCGGGGGGAGAGAGGGAAGCAAACGAAGCAGATGTGGGAAATTGACGGTGAAAATGCGGAGGCGAGGCAACCTTTTCGACTCCATGGAGATGATGGCCAAAGCGTCATGTACATCTTCGTAGGATTGGATACGATAATGAGGCGGGAGAATTGGACTATCACGTCAAGTTCTCGTGAGATATCGGGAGCTCAAGCCCGGGGTAAAGAGGTTGTCAAATTTCGAGAGCAAGACGGAGATCAGGACGGGACGTAGCTCGAGCTGGGGAGAGAGAGAAAATAAGGCCGTAGTCATGGCATCCAACATAGGAGCCATTGAAGAAACGAGCGTTCTGTTCTTTCCTTCTTGCATGGACATATTTACCACTCAAAAGGTGACGTAAAAATATCAGTCATTGACTTGATCTCGAACGCTCAAGCTTTTCAAAGCATCATCAAAGTTCCATACCAACTGTGCTCTCTCTTTCCCAAGCTCTCGCTCATATACACAAAAAGCGGAGGCGAGCCAAAATGCTTACGATGCAAAACTCGAGCTTGCCAATGTGAGGATAGAAGAACAAACAGAAACAAATAAGCAAGCCAGCCAACCAGGCCAACCAGATTGGGTCACAAAATAGGTTGTCCCTCTCAAGCAAAACCGGTGTCAATAGTACAGTGGCTTTCTGAATCCAAACATAGAGGTCGGGAACCAGGGACCAGGGGAACGAACTGCCTGCCGGATTGATGGACGTTAAACAGGCCGGTTGATAGTCGGGCGCCCCGAGATGTGGGATGGTCACATTCGGTCGTAGCCATGACACCACATGAATGGCATACATGGATGGGGTAGGCAACATTGGGGATATGGGATAGAGATTGAAACATGGGGTACGAGAAAGAGTAGGGAGAGATCCTCAGATCGTAACGGGCGACGAAGCTCTCGACAAAAACGACCATTAACAGCAGACGAAAAGTATCCGCTTCTTTTTTTAAAAAACAAATGAAGTTAAAATAAAATAAAAAAACAAGTCGGTGAAGGATACGTCTGTCTCCTCTTCCATCCTGCTTAGAACGCAATCTCATTTTGGGTTTGATCCTATTTCCATCGATGCTCGAATCCCAGTGATGCCAAGCTTCGTCGGCAAATTCGGCAATATCAAAGACCAACTAGCCCTGCCGGCAAAATCGGTAAATTCTGCGCCGGCCGACAACAAGTCCGACCGGAATAATTGATGGCGGCCAGCCGCCGGAACTGACCGCTGACTGATTTTTTATATCATGACCGGTTCCTTTCTGGGGTTGTATCGACAAACAAAACGCAAACATTTGCAAAGGACCTGGACACCGGCATGCTCTTTGACCCA